TGTATTTCGTACATAAAAGAAGCAACATTAATCTATAAATAGATATATTGCCCTGTTCCGTTGACTGCGATAAAAAACATTTGCTCATTTAGTTTAAGCATGCATGAGTTTCTATCTCATGTTTGTTAAAGAGAATTGTGATGGACATGTTAAAGTTTTAATGGTTTTTCATAATTTTTTAGTTAACCAAATTTTGGTCAAAATTGGTTTTAACACTTTATTTTTAAAATTTTTAATTTTGACCTTAATTTAAATGTTTATGCATGTGACTTATTGCAAATGATATCTCTCTAAAAACTGATATTAATTTTTCAAATGCATAACTTTTTGGATAGCTTTAGAATTCATGTACTAACTAACATGTTTTTCATCTTTATTGAAATTCAATGTCTTTTAAATGTCAAGCTTTTAAAGTCAAAATTTGTTTGGAATGCTTTATTGGGGAAGCTTTGATTTTTCAAATGGTTTATGCTAAAATTTACCACTTACTCTCAATTGTTATTTTTAAACTTTAAAGTTGAATTTATTTTTATATAACAAAAAGGGGGAGAAGTATGAGTTTGAAAAATTCAATTTCAAGAATGAAAAAGGGGGAGCTTTAATATTTTCCAAAATATGTCCCCTTTCATTAAATGTTTATTAAGGAGGAGTTTTGCCAAAATAATTTTTCAATGTTTTTGTATATAAAAAGGGAGAGATTTTGAACCATGTTTTATAATATTTGATATAACAAATTAAAGCAAAATGTTTTTGGACTTAATTGAATTTGTTCAAAACTTTCAAAAATAATTCAAAGTCCATTAAACTAGAATTTGAGCACAAAACAGTTTTCTGGTTACGTAGTACCGATACTATTCTTACAGTATCGATACTACATGAACAATATTGATATTGTTCATGTGGTACCAATACCAAAAGTAAGAGACGTATCAATACTCTCTAGGTAGTATCGAAACTACCAGATGATTTCGAAATTGCTCAAATACTAGAATACAAAATAAGTATCGATACCGAAGGGGTACCGATACTATTTACACAGTTGTATCGATAATCCCCAACGGCTCCAAAACATCACCAACGGCTAAAACGTCAAAAATTCATTCTAACATATAACAACAAGTTGAGACACTTGAAGAAGGTTGGAAACATCCAAGAAATCAAACAAGAGAAGAGTTTTCATTATTATTTTCATTTCTCTTGTAAATATAGTGTTTAAGCTCATTGCAAATCTTTAATTGTTTTCTTGTGAGCTTAATTTTTGTAACACATTTGTTATGGTTGTGAGTACTATAAATTATACACAATTAATGTGCAAGTATATACAATCGCTCATAATAAGTGATGAGTGAATATCGTCTCCACAGAGATTGGTGGAAATTACAAAGTTTAACCAAATCAAAGCTCTACTCTATCTAAGTATAGTAGTGATGATATGTATCAATGAAGATGTCACGACAAAGAAAAGTGTATGTTGGTAGATATGGATTGATAGTATGATGTAGTAGCAGATGAAAATGTAGTGGCAAGAGCATTATAATGTTGAAAATGATAGAAATGTTAAGACAATAAAAAACGTAAGAACAGTAATAATGATAGTTTGATAATCCTCACACACAAGCTGCATGAGAGAATTAATGGTAGGAATTAATTTAAGGATGCTAAACTTATCTCTCAAGTAGATTTAATCTATCTAAACCTCACTTACTCGACAGAGTTTGCTAAAAATGCTCCCGCTATCTCTAGTCAAAGGAACTTAATAGAATAGAATGTCACGGCATCTCCTCTTAGTCTCAACTATGGTAGCCTACGCTAATAAAATTACCCTCTTAGTCGTTGAAATCTTATCATAGTCTCTCTCAAGCACTAAGGATTAGGAATAGTACTACTATGTAGGGTTTAAGCTTAAGAAATACTACATCCAATGCTTATGCAGATCTTACTTGTGTTTCTCTCGAATACTACAAGCATTAATGACCAAGTTCTCTTGAACACCTAGTCTTCATCTAAGTAATGAACCTTTCATGCCTCCTAGAAACTTAGAAGATGAAACATTCATAAGAAAAACAAGTAAATGCAAAGATAAATTTAAATCTACCATTAAAACAAAATCAAGTTCCATAAAATCAACCCCACCAAATAAGGTTAGTTTATGGTGAGGTTCGAATCATCCATGAAATAAAACATGAAAATCATTCATTCCAACAACCCAATATCAAATGAAAAATAACAGTAAAGGGGAAGGGAGAAGAAGCCTTCGACATGCGCAGTTAGAACTCTCCTCGACCAGCACGAATCGTCTTAGCTTGATAGCTCCTCTCAGACGCCTAGCTTGCACTCTTGAGCTCGTTAATGGAGGAACACAACTAAGAGAATAGAGGGAAGAAAACGGTGGAGCAGATGAAGAAAATCTAGCTAGAGATGGTGAGTGTGTAACCTCCTTCCTCTCTCATGTGAGGTATATTAAATAATAAAAAAATATCCAAGGGTATTAATGGGATTTTACACTCCGAATACCCATCATACCCCTAGAGTCACTCCTTGGGCGTGAGTTTTATCCTTCCAGGTGGCAGTGGTCCCCAGCAGGCAATTATAACCATCAAACACATGCCTTGTCAACTGTCATTTTATAAAAATATCTATTTATCTTTTTCTACAACAGAAATGCCAAGGCATTTCAATATGCTTCAGCAACCTGTTATGTCACAACATTTCTTCTCAGTTCAACCTTTTGCTTGTTATTTTCTGCACAACATAAGCAACCACACATTTCCTTTATACAACACATTTATAAGATAAAATAGCACAACCACCATTAATGCAATTATATGCATCTAAAATGACCTAAATGAGCTTTTAAACAAACAATAACTTAAGTGAAAAATGCCTTAAAAGTAACTCTTTTAGGGAGTTATCAACATTCCTTTTAAGAGGTTTTCATGTTTACATCTTTTAACATTTTGTAAAAGGGGATTGGTTCTAGCTTAGCCTTTGAAAAACTAGGGAGTTATATAAAGTTATCTCTTTGTTCTGGAAAAAGAAAGAACAAATTAGTGAATTTGTTAGAAAATCCTAAGTAAAGAGCTTAAGTAGTGGATTTAGACTTGATTGAGAAGGAAAGCCACTATAAATCATTGTGCAAATTGTTTCATCTTTTTACTCCTTACTCACTAAACTCAAAAAGCTAATTCACTCCCTCTAGGCAAATTATTCTGTTGTTTAATTGCATCGAATCCCAAAAAGGGTTGTTGCTAACTTCGATTGAAGAGATCTTTTCCCCAATTTTTCTATTTTGCACATTCCTCATACTTTCTCTAATCATTGCCCAATGTTGGTTAATACCTCGCTTAATCTTCCAACTTCGAGATCGAATACCTCTTTTTTTACGATTCGATGCTGAATGGATTCTAGAAGAAGACTTCAATGAATAAATAAAGAATACTTTGTCCACCATGTCTGGAGATATGCCGCTTAAACTTCAAATCCTAAGTGGAAAAATTAAGAGTTGGAGTCGTGGCTTGAAATCAATGAGGTCAACGCATAAGGAATCTTTTAAATAGCAAGCTTCTTGATCTTTCTTATAAAGACCCTGATGATGAAACTTTGGCTGAACTTTTAGATGTCAAATTGGCTTTTAAATGGAAGTTGACAATGAGGAAATTTTTTGGGAACAAAGAGCTTGGGTGAATTGGTTACAATAGGGAGACCCAAACTACCTACTTTTTCCATAATTGGGCTACCTACAGGGAAAAAAAGAAATACTAATCGTAGCCTTATGAATGATAAAATGACTTGGTCACAGATGAACAGAAATCGCGCAACTAGTATATGCTTATTTTCAGGAATTATTTATCTCGTCGCCAGTTATCGACCCGACTCCAATTATTAATCAGATGACTCCATCCATAATCGACCCCATGAATGATATCCTTAATGCTGACTTTCAGTTGGAGGTGACAAAGGCAATCAAAAGCATGGCCCCCTACAGGCCTCGGTTTTGATAGTTTCCTTGTAGTCTTTTACCAAAGATATTGGCACATTGTTTGGGATGAAGTTGGTCAATTTTGCCTCTCCGTTCTCACTAGATCTAGAGACTTGGATGATATCAATGTGACGACTATTGTTCTTGTTTCAAAAGTAGAGTCCCCTACTACTATGAGTCAATTCCACCCGATCAGTTCATGCAGTGTCCTATAAAATAATCACCAAACTCTTTGCCAAAAGATTTAGAAGTATTCTTGATAATTGTATAGATCAGACTCAAGCACCTTTGTACCAGGTAGACTCATAACATATATGTTTTGATAGCCTATCATTATTGCATGTGAAAATGAAAAAGACGGGTTATAAAGTTGCTTTTGCCCTAAAGATTGATATGGAAAAAGCATACATCATAGTTAATTGGAGTTTTCTTGAGAATATGTTAACTAGAATGGGCTTGATGGAAACTGGACTTCCATGATCATGGAGTGTGTTAACTCGGTCAATTTTAATGGAATTAATGGCTGTCGTTTTCTTCCTACTCGTGGCTTGAGGCAAGGAGACCTATTAAGCCCTACCTCTTTTTAATTTGCGCTGAGGGTTTGTCAAGTTTATTTAATTAAGCCAAAAGCAACAAATTTAATTCATGGCATAAAGGTGGGCATATATGAATTTCTGATTATTCATCTGTTTTTCGCAGATGACAATACTGTTTTTGGGGAAAGTACTATGTCAGAAGCTGAAAGAGTTAAAGCCCTCATTACTACCTATGAGAAAGAATCTAGTCCACAAGTGAACTATTCTAAGTTTTTGATTAATTTCATCAATAACGTTTCGAGGCATATTTTAGAGATTATCAATGATTTATTCAGAGTTCGATATTCCTCAAATTTGGAGAAATATCTTAGACTTCAGACCATGGTGGGCAGAAAAAAGAGGGAAGCCTTTGCACATCTAAAGGATAATATGATACTCGGTTCTCATATGTTTCTGATTTAATTGATAGTCCTACTCATACCTGGAAGCAATTCAGTGTCCTCTCTCTTTTGAATTCACAACAAGCACATCAGATTCTCTGCTTACCACTCCCTTCTGTTGACATCAAAGACATGCACATTTGGAGAGGAGATCGCTCGAGAATTTATTCTGTCAAAAGTAACTATCATTGGTTGATCAATTCCACTGACGAGCAATCAAGAAATCCAAACCTCATCCAAAATGGTTGGTTATCTACTTATTTTGGCTCCATTTGGTCTCTAAACCTTACTGCAAAAATAAAAATTCATCACTGGAGACCAAGAAATAATTTGCTTCCCACTTTCTCCAATTTACTATTGCAAAGGCTTTTGGTTAATCCAAAATGTATCCTATGTGAGGCAAGCAATGAATCTACATACCATCTCACTCAAGAATGCAACTTTGTTCACAAGGTTTTCCATGATCTTAGCATCAACCTCTCGTTTATTCCTGCTGAACAAAACTTGCTCCGTTGGCTAGCTTACTTTATTCGAATTGCTCTCGGTTCAACAACGTCGCCTATCACTCACTACATTATGGGCAATTTGGTATTATAGAAACAAAAACTGTCATAAGGGAGAAAATCAATCTACAAAAAAATATTGTTTAAGATTTGTTTCTTACATACAAGAACTCGATGCTTCAAAGGTTTCCCCTACTCAATCTCCAACCCCAGCCACCAAAGTATGGTCGCCTCCCCCTGGAGATATCATCAAAGTTAATTTCGACGCAAGCTTCAATCAAGATCTCAAATCCTCTGTCTCTGTACATTAATTTTAGAAATGGATGCGAGTACTTACCATAATGACTTTATCCTGGATGCTGAGATGGCTGAAGCAAAAGCTTGCGAACAGGCTTTCTCTCTCGGAGGAACTGGGTTTTCAAAAGATCCATGTAAAAGGAGATGCTCTCACAGTTATTTTAAATATCAACAGTACATCTGCAGATAGATCCTTCATTAGCCCAATAATTGAAAATATCAGAAAGAAAAAGGAGACCTTTGATGTTATTTCCTTCTTGCATGTCCTCATATCTTCGAACAACACTACGCGTGTCCTTGCTGAAGCCGGTAAAGTGCTTGAGGGTCATAGGGTCTGGATCGAACAAACATCGATGGCAGTTGAAGAGGAGGCTCAATGAGATACGTGGTGGCTTGAACTGCGTACATAATTGCCGAGGAGTTTTACAAATTTGTCTTCAGAGAACCTTCTAAATCAAGCTCTGAGGTTTTTCTTGGTTTTATATCATCCTCCTAAAGGTGTCCCTATGCCCTCTTTTATAATTAAAATAGGTTTAGTTATTATTTAATGCTTAATTTCACGAATTAGGATCGTGTTTATATTGGGATCCTTTTTTTTCCAGAACTAATTAAACCAAACCTACGCCACTTCCCAGTTTTTATTTTGTTCTTCAGCTTCCTTTTTTCAATGCAAATCTTTTGTCAGATCGGCTAAACTCCATTTATATAAAGAGAAAGACCCAGTTGTTAATCTTTTATATGAATTATACATAGTTATGAAGTTTAATTATTTTTTAGTTTAAGAATATTTTTGTTAGTGATTTTTACGTGATCACACTGGATTCTGCGAGTTTTCAACTTATTAGATCTGTTTTTGGGTATTTTTATTTATATATGTTGTTTTAATAGTTTGAGGGATCTGTTTTAATATTTTGTTTTCCCTAAAGTTAAGTAAGATAGTGTTAATTTGTCTTAAAATCATATTTAGTAACCAACTAGGCTTCTTAGTACCCCTCAATTTTCTAGAGCTTTATTGGTGCATATTTTGTCTTCTTTTGTTTCCTTTTTATAGTTCCTCATAGCTTCAGCTCTAGATGATCACTTGAGGTCATGTCCTTCTTTTAGACTCCATAGGGCGTATAGGGGAGGGCTCGACAGAGTGGTGTCAAGGAGACTAGACTTAGAGTTTGTTCGTTGAATGTAGACACATTAAATGCTAGGCTCCTGGAGCTGACCGACGTACTTAGTAATAGGAAAATATATTTGGCATGTATTCAGGAGACTAGGTGGAAAGGGGCTCGCGCCAGGGAGTGTAATGGGTACAAGTTGTGGTATTCAGGCGTAGATAACGCTAGAAATGGGGTGGGTATCTTGGTATCCTCTAGGCTCAAGGAAAATGTAGTTGAAGTTTGTAAATATCGAGATAGGATTATGATGATTAAGGTTATTATAGAAGCGGAAGTGGTGAATGTCCTTTCAGTGTATGCCCCACACGTTGGCCTAGGGAGGGGGAGAAACGTTACTTCTGGGATCAATTAGATGATGTACTTAGAAGCATTCCGGAGGACCAAAGAGTTTTCATAGGGGGAGACTTCAATGGCCATGTAGGTAGTGCAACCGACAGGTATGTCGGTGTTCATGGGGGTTTCGGATTTGGTAGTAGGAACGAGGAGGGGCGTACGTTGCTTGAATTTGCAACTGCACACGATATGGTGCTCATAAACTCCTTCTTTAACAAGAGATATGTGAACTTGATTACGTTCCAGAGCGGTGGACATTATACCCAAATCGACTACATCCTGATTCAAAATCGGGATCGATGGGCTTGCATTGACTGTAAGGTGTTCCCTGAAGAGGCATGTGCATCACAACACATATTGTTGGTTTTGGTGTTCCGCGTATGCCACAGACAGATCACTCATAGGAGGGCTAAGCTTGGTAAACATAGGATCCTTTGGAATAACTTACATGGAGCGACAACTGATGACTTTAGGAGTAAGGTTTTGTCTAATACAGGTTTTGGAACGTCAAACTCAAAAAATGCAGATATGTTATGGAAAAATATGGCAGATTCCATCAGAGAGGTAGGCAAAAACACCCCTGGGTTGTCGACAGGGAATGTCAAGGAACATAAAGAATCGTGGTGGTGGAACGACGAAGTCCAAACTAAGGTGAAGACAAAACAAACTTGCTTCAAGGAGTTGTTACAATGCAATGACGACGAAGAAAGATCGAAAGCTAAACAAAGATACAAGGAGGCAAAGCGGGAAATCAAGAAAACAGTGGCTAAAGCAAATGATAAGGCATACGAGGAAATGTACAAGAGATTAGACACCAAGGAAGGACAAAACGATATCTTCATGCTTGCAAAATCCAGGGAGAATAGGAAAAAGGATCTAGGTAGAATTAGGTTTATTAAGGACAATAATGGTGTTCTCTTAGTGAAAGATCATTATATTAAGAGGGTTTGGGGTAGTTACTTCTTTGGCTTATTTAATAACGGTGTCTCTCCCTATAGAGATAGTACCGTTGAGGGGTCAGCCGACTATCATACAACGGTCATTGACCGCTCTACAAGTAAGATTGGGTTTGAGGAAGTCAAAATGACACTTAGAAAGATGGGAAGGGACAAAGCAGTCGGTCCAGATCAAATTCCTATCATTGTGTGGTTGGCCCTAGGAGAATAGGGAGTTAAGTGGTTAACCAACATCTTTAATATTATTCTAGAGACTTCCAATATGCCAGAGGAGTGGAGAGAGTCTACGGTGATACCAATCTATAAGAATAAAGGAGATCCCCAACGTTGTGGCAACTAAAGAGGTATTAAACTACTCAGCCATACCATGAAGCTATGGGAAAGGTTGATAGAGTCTAGGTTGAGACAGGTTATTAGGGTTTCGGAAAACCAATTTGGCTTTATGCCAGGCAGGTCTACTACGGAGGCGATTCATCTACTTCGACGGCTTATGGAGAAATATAGGGAAAAATAGAGATCTTCACATGGCGTTCATTGACCTTGAGAAGGCGTATGATAGCGTTCCCCGCGATACGATCTAGAAGACCTTGGAAACGAGACGGATCCCAACTGCTTATATCCGTGCGATTGGAGGCGATTCATCTACTTCGACGGCTTATGGAGAAATATAGGGGAAAAATAGAGATCTTCACATGGCGTTCATGACCTTGAGAAGGCGTATGATAGCGTTCCCCGCGTACGATCTGGAAGACCTTGGAAACGAGACGGATCCCAACTGCTTATCCGTGCGATTAATGATATGTACTGTAGATCTACTACCTACGTCAGGACTACAGTTGGCGACACCGAGGCATTCCCTGTGGAAATCGGACTCCACCAAGGGTCGGCTCTTAGCCCTTACATCTTCTCTTTGATTATGAACGACATCTATTGTGTGACACCAGACGATGTTCCATGGTGTATGCTTTTCGCTGACGACATTGTCTTAGTGGCTGAAACAAAAACTGAGTTGAATAGTAACTGTCTACCTGGGAAACAACTTTGGAAGAAAAGGTCTAAGGATCAATATTGAAAAGACAGAGTATTTATGTTCAAACTTCAGTGGGAACCAAAACGATGAAGATGTAGAAATATGCATAGAAGGGCACGTTCTCCCCTCAAAAGGATTGTTTCAAGTACCTAGGGTGTATGATACGTAAAGATAGGGGTGTAGATGATGATGTTCACACCGTATAAAGGCGGGATGGCTAAAGTGGAGGGCTGCTATGGAGTTTTGTGTGACAAGAAGGTACCTCTAAAACTTAAGGGAAAATTTTATAGAATGGCAATAAGACCATCGTGCTGTATGAATCAGAATGTTGGGCAATCAAGAAGGATCAGTAAGGAGGATGGAGGCGGGCAGAAATGAGAATGCTTCGATGGGTATGTGGTAAGACTCTGTGGGACTGACACCAAACTCTTCTCTTAGGATGTCCTTGGGGGTGGTGCATGTATCCGAAAATTGAGGGAGGGAGACTACGGTGGTTTAGGCATGTCCTAAGACGACAACCATCGGATGCGGTAGGAGGGTAGAGTCGATTACAGTCGATGGTACCAGAAGGAAAGGTCGACCAAGGCGGAAGGGGAAGACTGCTTGAGATCTGATTTGAAGGATTTAGCCCTTACCGAGGACTGACCTCTGATAGGAAATTATGGCGACTTAAGACCAGGGTAGCCGAGTAGGCGAGTCACATCCATTGGTGTATCATCTTTGTCTTCTTTAATGCCTTTGTAGTAATTTCAATACTTATTTCTATACGTTCTGTTATTGGAATTTATGAAGGCTTAGAACTAAGGTAGCAGAGTAGTGTTGCCTTAGTTTAGGTTTTATCCCATTTGACTTTATTCCTTCTCGTAGACCACTCGTTGAATTCTGTGTATAATGCTCTTCATTTCCTCTTTTTAATTTTGGTCGGGTCTACGTTTCTATCTATATGCAGATATTTTATGCAGGGATTACTTCCCATTACAGATCATATGAAGACTGCATATGAAGATTGTTCAACTACGCATTTATTTATTTATTTAAACTGCATTGCATTTATCTTATTTTAATTTTTGACTGCCGGAGGTCTTCCACGGAAGCTGCTCTCAACCTGGCATGGGGGACAACTACTATCCTACCTCCCCCTTATCCCATTGCATATGGGAATAGGGTTTTGTTGTTGTTGTTGTTATAGTTCAAAAAAATGTGAAACAATTTAATTTCATACTCATTTTCGAACGACTTTTAAAAAAAAAATACAATCCTATATCAGGTCTGTCGAATCTCGTTAGATAAGTCTCTTGTCCATCTCTAACTCCAGTAATGAATTAGGGGGAGGACATTGACAACGGCTTTGACGCTTCTTAATGGAAAAATCATATTCGATGTCACTGTAAATTATAATGCTTTTATTTAATGCAATGGTGAATTTGTATTTGGTTCTATAATGAAAATAACTTCAATTTAACTCCTTCAAAATTATAATCTAATGCAGTAAAGATTACTTTTTATTTTCAGAAAATCGTACATAATTTCAAAATTTAGCTAAACCAATATAAAATGTAAGTTAAGATATTTTCAACCACTCAATAAATACTTTTGAGTCTTTTATGTTTGCATCGTAAATATTGTAAATATAAATTATGATGGATTGCCGATATATAAATATACTCATAATATTTACGATTTAAACAATATAAATTTAACCATATGTATATGCAATTATCATATGCTCATGTTACATGGAGATTCGCTTAGCCACCAAAGAACGAGGAAATTTGATCCGATTCCGCCAACCACAACGATGCCGATTGTGTTTCCGACACCACGGTCCTCCGTCGTAAAGAACTCGTTGCTATCATTTTTCGTTCGGCACTACATAAACAAATGTTCCAACAAATTCATCCTCAAACCCTTGAACAGAGTCCAGGATCTTGACCACATCGCCCATGCACGGCCTCGGCTTCGGCTGGTGGCTCAAGCATTTGTACGCCAATGTGGCCACCTTTTGACCTCCTTTGTTGGAAAATTGACCCTCGAGTCTGCATCTATTAGCCTGTCATTCATAGGGTCCCTTAACAATGGCCTTGCCCATTCCACGAGGCTCCGCTCTCGACCAGGACGGCTATTGTCCACAGATTGTTTCCCTGTTAATAACTCTAACATAACCA